TCCCAAAGCCACTATAACACACGCTAAGAATTGGCTTATTGGTAGACGCTTGTTTGTAAACAATGACACGCTCACAAATCCAAACAACATAATGACCCCTAAAGAAAAAGCTCAGCAAATGTAGGAGAATGCAATTTACAGTTTTTTTATATCACTATTCATTCTCTAGATATTCAGCTTTATATCAGTATTATGTAGTCAGGCATCTTGATTCTCAAGCAAAGGATTATGGGTAAAGTATGACATAGGATAGAAATGCATTTCTGCCATATTTGATTTTCAAAGGATTATGAGTTGAAAATTGAACCATGGGACATAGAGGGCGCTTTAGGATGCAAGTTCAGAAGCATCAGTCAAATAACAGGACACAATCAGTAAATGTAATTCAGTTTATTTTAATCACTATCATACAGAAAAAAATTTTGATTGAAAACCAAACCAAAAGAAAGATAATTGACACGCTTTAGCTTGAATTCCAGAAAATAAAATAAAATTCAATTTAAAATCATTTTTGCAGACCTGACAATTGAAAAACTTTCAGAGATAAATATTCACAATATAAAGAATTCTTTTATTTAAAATATGTCTCATCTTGTCTGCCTAAATAAGGAAGCAATTTCATTATTACCCGGTAGTTAAGAATATATTGCAACACGCTCAGAATACATTGAAAATATCAACGTGTGATTATCACACGTTTGTACAAGTTCCATGGCATTCTTTGTCAGGAACAAAAACAGGTAGTCTATAATAAAATTCTGAATGATTTTATTCACAGACAGTATGTACTGAATGCGCTAACGACACAAAGAACTTGTTACAACGTAACTAACTTTTTTTCAGATGATTTTACAAAGATGGGTCTGATCAGACATAGCCTGGCCGTGAAAACCACAGATATGGTGAGATTTCTTGAAAATCAGATGTGTTTAATTTCAACAGATTAATGTGGTCATGTAAACCAGAAATGCACACAGTCAACAAATTACAATGAAAATATTTTCCATGTAAAAAAGTTTCCAATGGGAAAAAGAATGAAATGAGTCAGTGCGCTATGCATGTTTATATTTTTGAAAATGTACACTCCATTACCGGTACTATAAAATACTAATTTTATAATTATAAAATTTTAGCTGGAACTAATTTTCGCTGAAAAAACTTTTTGGAAGTTTTGTATGGAATTTATTTTCACTTTTTTGACGAGTTGAAGGCAAAATATAGGAAAAGAGGTATATCCGCTGGATTTTATTTTCGCTGAATTATTCCTTCAGTGAAAACAGCGAAAATTAATTCCAAGCGAAAATAAAGTATTCTACAGTATTAGAATTTTATGTCTATGGATGTACATCTGTCGTTTATGCAAATGCACTGCAAATAAAGCAAATATGGTATACATTCTAGACCAAACAAATACAGTGCATTTTGAAATCAAGTTTGAATGAAATCTGACTACTTAATACACAAGGCAAAAAAAAATAGTAATAGAGCAATTACGTTATTTGTAAAAGGTGAAGTCAGTCATAGGAAATACTGATATACCCGTCACAAATTTGGCAAGAGTTCCTTTTGTACCCCCCATCTCTAACCCTAACTCTAACACTCACTCCCAGTTACCCAATTCATTTGTATATGCCCCCACTAGATAACTATAGATGTCCTTAGGAGGGGCATGTACAATTAAATGGGGAGTGCTGGAGGGTAGGGTTAGGGATGGGGGGTACAAATTTTGTTACAAACAAAA